CACTGTCCATTGCTAGCCTCCTCATTCTTGATGCACTTTTACTTTGTCCTCTGAGGAGTTCCAGAGGCCTCTGCACAAGTAAGCTGCTCTTGGTGGTGTTGTCCATGGTGGGCAGGGGAAGCTCGTTTCCTCCACCTGTGCCCCCCAGCAGGTAGCTCTGTGCCTGGCAGGTGCACAGGGGGCTGCTCCTGCTTGCTCTGCTTTCTCTCAGGCCTCAGGCAGCCTCAGCCCTTCACAGCCTATAAGGTTAGGTTTTCCAACTGGCCTGGTGGACTTCTCTTCGGGGCAAGGCAGCATGGTGCAGCTGTCTTCCACGTCACAGCCACTGGCTCAGAAGCCTGTGTTTGGGGACCTGGTCCTGCCCCTGAGATGCCCAGAACTGGACTCCAGGTCCAGAGCTATGGTCCCCCATCTGGACTCTGGGTTGTCTGGTGGTTTAAGGAGACATCATATTTAGACAGGGATAGTCACAAGATGCCACCCTGCCACCATTTCAGGCCCTGTCAGCCTCCCTCCCTTCCTTCTCTCTTCCCCTGGAGGCCAAGGAAGCTGCCCTGAGAAGGAATAGACAGTTGCCAGACTAAAGGGGGCTGATGCTGTTGGGTATAGGGAGGTAGTCAGGCAGGCCAGGGCATAGGGAGCCTATCCACACAGTGGTCAGGACCACAGTCTTGTCCCTACCCCAGGCAGGTGCAGACCCCAGCAAGAAGTGAGAGTGTTGAGATAGGCCCCAACCCCAGGGCTGTGTGCATGTCGATGCTCTGTCTAGGCCATTCCTTGTTGCTAGGTACTCTACCCCTGCCCACTCACTTGGCACCAACTCCTAAAATGCCCAGCAAGTGCTCAGGGATGAGTTGCCAGCAAATCACCACTTAGAATCATTCAGATCTTCAATCAGCCAATTATATTGTGAGCTGGCACTGAACACACCCTGTGGGAGCCCTAGCCTTCTGAGTGGGGCTGAGAATCTACAGGTCTGAACTATCCCTCCCCCCAACAATGTCCCAAATAATTGAGGGGTCTGCAATGCCTATGCAGGAGAGGGGACTGAGCTGGGGGGAAGAGCAGCCCAGGAGATCGTGCAGCCCGCAGAAGCCAAGTGGACAGCAGAGGAAAAAATAGGGGCCCAGAAGCTGCTGCTCACAGCCCAGCGCAGGCCTCCGACCGGGAAGAGTGGGAGGGAAGCAACATCTACCCAAATCCAGCTCAAAGGAAGATGCTGCAGCCCCAGAGGAGACAGCCAAAGTTGGGAGGTCTGTGCAGGACTGTTGGTGTTAGGCATGGACAAGATAGGAAGGAACACTGCAGCCACAGAAGGACCAGCACGAGGCAGGCACTGGCATGCAAGGCTGAAAGACAGGATGTGATAGGGGCTCCACACCAGGGGTGCAGCAGGGGATCTTGCACAGGGCTGGGTGGCCACAGCAGGACAGGAGAGGGAGGGCTCTGAGCTCAGCCTCTGGAAGGATGAAGGATTCATGATGCCCAGTAAGCACAAAGGTAGGACAAAGAAAACAGAGTGAGCAGAGGAATAGCTCAGGTGAGGGGCACCAAGTTCCAGAAGCAGAGACTCTGCAGCGAGCTGCACAGGGGTCAAAAGCTCAGCGATTTTCCTAGTAAGGGAGAGTGGGGTGGGGGCGGGGCTGACGGCACCCCTCCTGGGACAAGTAGGGTACAACTTCCCTACACACAAACAAGTGACTGCAGGGTGGACACATGAAGCCGGGCTGGACCGAGCCCCCCACAACACCATCTCTGCCCACCAGAGGCTCTTGGTGGCACATGACCCGAGAGCACAACCCGGCCACACCCTGCACAGAAGCAGAGGCATCGGCCCCCTGTACCTACAAACAGCACCAGGCCAGAGTCAGATTCAGAGGCTGGGGACAAGGTGAGGATGGATTCGTGTCCTGGAGGGATTTGGCTGGTAGGTGGCCTTGTCCATAATGCAGATGAGTGGACACCAACTGGCAGCTGAGGTCCAGGTCCCAAAAGCTGTCCTGGATGCTGCTGGGACCCACTCTTGGCGTAAGGGGTTTGAGGAACCTGCATGGGAAAACTGTCTCTGTGAGGTCAGGTAAGGCCTTTTGACTCAATATTTTTAGATATTTTTTTTTGTTAAGTTCAAGGAAAATTAAATTGAATACCTTTTATTATAAAAATAATAAATGATGAAAGTTCAATAGAAAGCATACTAGTAAGAATGGCTTTTTAAGGCATAAGACAAAACACAGATGCCATAAAACAAGACTGAGAAGTCTAACTGTAAAAACAGACATCTACTTGTAGCAAAATAACATAAACAAAGTCAAAAGAAAAGCAACAATACCTTTGACAGTGAAAACACACCTGTACCTGAAAACACAAGCAAAGGTTTGATTTTTCCAGTTTATGAAGAATCTTGTGTCAGCAAGAAAAGGATTAGTCCCCAGGCCAGGGGCCAGCAAATTCCCTGAATGGTTATTCACAGAAAACGAAAGTCATGTCTCTCAAACGTGACAGGGCACTCAAACCTCCCTTCTAAGGAGAGGACATTAAGTCACACTTACCAGCCTGTAGGAAGAGGGGACAGGTTGCCCCACCAGGACGTATGCACCCACCCTATGGATGCTGGTGTTCGTGGGTACAGCATGTGGGCAGGTGCTCTCCTGACCTGGTGATGGCAAGGCGTTAGGAACAGTCTTCTCCCATCTACATGGCATTTGCTCATGTGTGTAGACCTTTTTTCTCAGTAGGTAAGAAGATCAGCTTTCTTCATGAACTTTCAGGACTGATTTCTCAGTAAGAGCACTTAGTCTGAGGTCAGCCTATCCCTTACCACCCATCCGCATCCAAATTAAGATGATCTTACCAAGACTAGTTGCCACAATAGGAATGTTCTGGTACTGAGGACAGCTCTGAGCTCCTAAAGTATAAAGTTTGTTATTGTTGTCTTCAAAGATAACCCTGCCCTGGCTTGCCCTGCCTTACTGGCCTTGAGTTGTCCAAACCAGCTTTACAGTGGTCACAGCCTCCTTGGATCTCTAATAGAAGAGATTGTGACTACAAGACCCAAGGCCTGGTGTTTGCAGGCTACCCAGGCTGTGGGGGTCTGGGCCGAGGATGCACCATCTCCACAGTCCCTAGGTTTTAATCTTCAGGGAGGCCCATGGGGCAGGTACTGTGGGCCCGCCCCTATTGCTCCATGAGCTTTATGGGGCAAGCAGGCAAGGATAAGTGAGCAGGCTTACTGGAGAGAGGCAACTTGTAGAGAAAGAGGTGGCCTGGGCACATGCATGACCTCTGGGGAGCTAGGCAGCCTCCCAGGGGCCATGCATGGCAGGGGATTTGTTGGACAGTGGTGGCAGCACAGCTAAGAAGAGAGGTGGGAGACCTGGCCCACTCTAGTGGCAGGTGGTAAAGGCTGGGGCAACAGGACAGGCTGGACTGCTTGGGCATCAGCTCCTGGCCGGCCAGTTCAGCCTTAGGAAGGAGCAGTGGGCAGCTCCAGGTACAGGAGTTGGGAACCTAGGCCTTGGACAGCACAGAGGGCAGGGTCTAGAATCTACCACAGTGCAGCTTCCACAGACAGAGCTCTCAGAATGCAGATTTGGAGCTGGTCCACAGCTCTCAGGGTTTCTCCAGCTGCCTGTGCAGAGGATGTGACCATTGCACCTCCCCAGGGCTGGAAGACACCCTCAGGCCAGGTCTGCCCCTGATAGCCACAGGGATGGGGACCTGGATCCTAAAGCAGAAGGGACATCCACATGCCCTGTTGGGGTGCCGGGGTGACAGCAGAGCTGGGGCAGGGGTCGGTTCTCAACCATACTTCAGCTTCTGCCAACCAGCCTCAGAAAAGGCCTGACAACTTTCAGGGATCCTGTCTTCCCTGTTCCCCAGAAGCAGCCCCCAGGTCTGGCACATGGGACCTTGGGGTTGCCTCCAGTCACCTGGGTGCCACCTCCCTGCTGCTCCACTTGACATTTATGAGAACTTTTGGGGGTTTGTGCCAGGCTAGAGGAGCAGTGGGGGCACACGGGGGCAAGGGGTCTGCCACAGGGCCTCAGATCCTAGAAGCATCAACAGATCTTGGGGTCCTGAGGTTGAGGTGCAGTGCTGGGGGTGGCGGGGAGACTTGAGTGCTAAGCAGGTGCAGACCTGGAGAGGACAGCGAAGATGATGGCGCTGTCGTCCCATGGGCTAGTAGGGACCCTACAGGACCCCAATAGTGTACCTGGGGACACAGGCTTCAAGCCCCACCACCCCTCCAAGCTCACCAGAAACTCTATGAGGACAAGACAGAGTGAGCAGGACCTGTGTTCACTGGAGCCCTTCCTTTCTATGCTGCCGTGTGCTTAAATGGGGTCTCGGCTATCTCAGGAGACAGCTTTCCTTTGAATTTCAAGGAAGATTTTTAATAAACAGAAGCTTAGAGAATGAAAAAATAATTGTCCCACATATTGTTTAAGCCAAAGAAGTCAACCTTGCTAATCAACATTCTATTACAAACTGGTCCTCAGAAGGGAATTTTCATCACTTCTTTTTCTGAGTCCAAATGAAATGAAGGTATGGCCCAAATAGGTCAGCGCCTCTGTGCTCTGAGGCCTCTTAGGGGACCCGTAAGAGGCCGCCATCAGCCCCTGGGGAGACCTGTAGACCTGCAGGGCAGCATCCATGGGGGCCTCCAGACACCTTAGGAGCAGCTACAGGCACAGGGGTGAGGTTCAGCTGCCAGGCAGGAACCAGCAGCACCCTGTGCCCCAAGGGAAAGCCACCAGGAAGGACTGTGGGTCAGAGACCCAGCCCTCAGTGTGAGAAGAACAGGCTGACACCCCCTCCTCAGCCCTCTTGGACTCCCTAAAAAGTAAGGGGGCAGTCTGGGCAGCCTCCAGCCTGAGCTCCATGGCTCCCACCCCTCTCACTCTGATCACCCAAGGCCACCAAATCCCCAACCTTTTCCAATGTGCCCTCCGCTCTCTCCCCTCCCCCGTGGCCCCCTGACACTCTCCCCTCCCCCGCAGTGTTCCACCTGTCCCACAAGATCACCAGCGTGGTCCCTGAGAGCGCTCTGCTCATCGTGCTGGGGCTGGTGCTGGGTGGCATCGTCTGGGCGGCCGACCACATCGCCTCCTTCACACTCACACCCACCGTCTTCTTCTTCTACCTGCTGCCACCCATTGTGCTGGATGCTGGCTACTTCATGCCCAATCGACTCTTCTTCGGCAACCTGGGCACCATCCTGCTGTATGCGGTCGTTGGTACCGTGTGGAATGCGGCCACCACCGGGCTGTCTCTATATGGCGTCTTCCTCAGCGGGCTAATGGGTGAGTCCCTGCCCAGCACAGGCTGGGGACAGAATACAGGCCCAGCTTCACTCACACAGAGCTGTCCCAGGCAATTTGTTCCAGGGTCCCTGGACCAGTGAGTAGGTTGGGTACCCTTCCTCCTATGCTCATAGGGGTGGGTCTGCACACTCTGACTGCCATGTCCCCAAGGCCAGAGCCCCACACAGGGTGGCCCAGAGATGGGCATGCAGTAGGAGTAGGAGCAGGTGCAGGTGTTTACCCAGCCCTGCAGGGTGCTACAGCCCCCACACTGTTCATCCCAAACAACTGCCTCCTGCACCACTGTGGCCACTTACTATGGGTTATAGAGCCCCCGTCCTCTGAGCTTCCCTGGACCTGAGCCAGACACATGGCCACACATGGGGCCCTGAGGGTCCAGCTGGGCTGTGGCCCCTCCAGATGGGCTGAGAGTGGCAAAAGTACATTTCTACAAAACCTTCCCACATGTGGGGCAAGGAGGGGCAGAGCAACAGCAGGGGAAAGCTGCCTGGAGCGGGTGCATGTTGTCCTGTCTGTCTAGTCCTGCTCATCCACCCTAGTGCACCAGGTACCCCTGGCCTTGTCTGGCAGCCCCTCTGGCCCAGAACTCTCAGCTGCTCCTGCAAGTCTGGGTGGGACATCAGGGATGCAGCCCCCAGGGGAGCCTCATCTCCTGCTCAGCACCTAAGCTATCTGCACCTGCTGCAGCCCCTTCACCTTGGGACTGGACCCCAGAGGGGCTCTGCTTCCCTCCAGGTGTACCCTGCATGCAGGGCTCTTTCTTCTTCAGATAAATGGGCTCCCTAGGATGGCACAGCCTTCCCTGGAGAGATGTGGGAGGCCTAGGGGTGGCACATGGGAAGCCATGTGAGACATGTGGGAGACACATGAAAAACCAGGGGAGACACGTGGGAGATGTGTGAGACTAGAAAACGTGTGGGACACAGAGGGGCATGTGGAAGGGCTGTGGGAGACATAGGTGGCTATGGGGTGCTTGTAAGGACACAGACCCAGCTGACAGCAACCTGAGGCTGCCCCATGAAGGATAGCCTGGTCTGGTTGGGGAGAGGTTAACAGCCTGCCCCTGGCCCGGCTCTCCCCTGTGGGCAGCAGGTCCTTTGAGGCCCCATGGCCCCCTTGCATCTTCCAGGGGAGCTGCAGGCGGGGCTGCTGGACTTCCTCCTGTTTGGCAGCCTCATAGCAGCTGTGGACCCAGTGGCTGTCCTGGCTGTCTTTGAAGAGGTGCACGTCAATGAGGTCCTATTCATCATCGTGTTTGGGGAGTCACTGCTGAACGATGCTGTCACCGTGGTGAGTGTGTGATGGGTAGGGCTTCAGAATGGACTGGCCTCTCAGTGTCTGCCTGGGCTACACAGCCACCTCCAGATGCTCTATGCAGCTGCAAGTCTAGTCCCCAGCCTGCTGACCCATCATGACGTGATTTGAATTGGGCCTCTCTTCCTCACAGCAGGGTCCACACCTCCTAGGCAGGGTCTTCAGCCTTATATCTGCAGCTGGTGCCAACCAGGCCTCATTTCTTAAAAGGCAGATGAGTAACGCACAAAGCACAACAAAACCTCAGAAGAACCGTGTGAGTCCACTGTGACTACCATGCAAAGTGCTGCAGCCAGGCTGCTTAGCCCACAGATGCTGGGTCTTTGCAGTCCTGTGCCATATGTCTCCAGGACTGGGTCCTCCTCTTCTCCCACCCCACTGACCTCATGCTAACTAGTAACCCTCCAAAGGCCCCATCTGGAAACAACCACGTTCTGAGGCCACGGCCACCTCATCACAGGGCTGGGCATAGCACATTCAGCCTGTAATAGGAACTAGGGGAAGAAACCTGTTCAGAGCTAAATGTGGACCTGGGACGTTGTAGGGGCCCATGCCCCTGAGCCCTGAAGCCTGTTACCATGACTTAGAATGAATAGTTTTCTAAAACATGGGGAGTGTCCTTGGGCCTCACAGTGGCCCTCCTGAACTTACAGCCATTTCTCTAGGAAGTGCAAAGCCTGGGTCAGAGTTACCTCTGCAGCAAGAAGCTGCTGGACTGGCCTCAATAGGTCTTCCAGGGCTATGGCCCCCCAGGCAGCCCCATCTGCCCTGGTGCCCTCTGCGTGGGCCCCCACACCCTGAGGAGGAAAGCGCAGGCTCAGCAAACACTACTGTCTCAACCAGCGCAGGATGAGGCTCCCAGGCTTTTTGTCTCAAGGTCTGGGTGGGATGTGGTTTAAACATCAACATGCAAAGACCTCAGGGGTGAGCTCCCATCCATTAGAAACAAGACCCTGGGTTATTCTCTGTGACTGAGTGAGAAGTAAAAGGCAACAGGTAGCTTGATGGTGACCCCACTGGCCTGAGGTAGGAAGAGGCCAGCTTTGCTTCCCAAGTCTCTGCTTCCTCCCAGAAAGTTCTCTGCCTCCTGTATCCCACCTGCTAGCTTGCCTGTGCCTTTTCCTGTGACAGTCATCCCATGATGATGTCCTTCTGACAGCCTTTGATAGCTGTGGGCCCCACAGTCAGGCCCAAGTCTGGGGAGGCTTGGGGCCTAGATGTGGGGTGTTAATCCTGACCGGTGGTCTGGCTTGTTTGTCCCCTCAGGTCCTGTACGACGTGTTCACATCTTTTGTGGCACTGGGTAGTGACCAGGTGACCGGCGTGGATTGCGTGAAAGGCATAGGTGTGTAGCTGGTGGGGCCTTCCCAGCCCACCTTCAGGCCTGTCCACTGAGACAGTAGGCAGGCTTGCTGCCCCAGGCGAGCTCTCTTGGCGCCCCTGCCATTCCTAGGACTCAAAGCCCATGTAGGACAATGTGTTTTCACTCAAAGCTATTGTGCCAGTTCCCCTCCCAGCGCAGTTCACAAACACAATTTGATGTGGGTCCTGCCTGAAGAGTCCTGAGTCTTTCACTGGGCAGAGCTGATCTTCCCAGAGAAAGACAACTGGACAGGGTCTGAGGCCACAGGAAGCCTCACAACGGGGGCTGAGTCTGGCGCAAGGACTAGGCCTTGTCTCTGAAAGGGGAATGGATCCTTTGCTTTCTGAGCTCTTGACACCTCCGTGGGAGGTGAAGAATGACCTGGAAGGCAGCAGCCTCACTTGCACACAGGCACATACCCTGGTGTCTTTGTCTGCAGTGTCCTTCTTCGTGGTGAGCCTGGGAGGCACCCTGCTGGGTGTGGCTTTTGCCTTCCTGCTGTCCCTGGTGACCCGTTTCACCAAGCACGTGCGCATCATCGAGCCTGGCTTCGTCTTTGTCATCTCATACCTGTCCTACTTGACCGCAGAGATGCTGTCCCTTTCGGCCATCCTGGCGTGAGTGGGTTTCTCAGGATGGACTTGAAGCCCAGAGATGGGAGAGGCCCTCCTGGGGGGGGCAGCAGTAGCACAGGGAGCACAGCCAAGCAGGTGCAGGCCCCATAGCACCAAGGCCCATGCCTCGAGCCCCATGGGGTGCAGCTGCGACAGCCTCAGGGACCTTTCCCCAGTGGCTCTCCCCACCCCCACCCCCCTGTCTTCTCAGTTCACTTCCCCAGTTGATGGACAGTCCCTATTGGCCAGGAGTTCTTGGAGTCTGTGTCTCCACATTAGTGTCCATGGTTGGCTCAGTGTGGCTCTGAGGGGCTCTAGGCCCCGTGGTGCTGCCTCTGTCACCAGCAGCCCACACACAGTAGGAAAGCCACAGTGCTCCCAGGTCTACCCAGAATTCCCCACTGAGGTTGGCACAAAACAGTGGCAGGGGTCCTGGGCAGGGAGAGCCATCTACTCCCTCCATGTAGGGCCTAGCTGGGGCTGACTGGCCACAGGGGGACCAGCCCAGGAGGAGCTAGGATGTCACCAAGGGTGTGGCCTGGGAGAGCCTGCAGGACTGTTAGGGGCTTGGTTACTGGCAGGGATTAGGCCTTCCACCCATCCTGAGCTGTCCACATTCCCCCATGCAGCATCACCTTCTGCGGCATCTGCTGTCAGAAGTACGTAAAGGCCAACATCTCGGAGCAGTCGGCCACCACTGTGCGCTATACCATGAAGATGTTGGCCAGCAGTGCCGAGACCATCATCTTCATGTTTCTCGGCATCTCAGCTGTGGACCCCCTCATCTGGACGTGGAACACGGCCTTCATCCTCCTGACGCTGGTCTTCATCTCTGTGTACCGGGCCATTGGTGAGGCAGGTGGTGGCTCACACGTCTGCAACAGCTCCCTGAGAAGTCCAGGCTTTTGTGGCCCTGTATGCGAGAGAGAGGGATGAGATGGTGGTTCATGGGCCGGGAAGGAGGTCTTGGAACCCAGAGGGAGCTCACCTGGTTCTCCACTGACACCCTTGGACATTGCCCCCAGAATGGGCCAATAAGACTGGAGGTGGGACAGAAGGCAGGACCCACCCCCACCAGCCTACTACCCCCAGGATCTGCGTGTGGTTGGTGGTATGGGTAGAGTGTGGTGGAAACAGTGGCACATGGGGGTTTCTCAGGTCCTCAGGAGCAGGGGATTGAGCGTGGCTCCAAGGGATGAGGCAGGGGGCACTGTGTTCAGGGTGCTACTGTCCCTTTGTCACCACATCTCCCTCCTGCAGGAGTTGTGCTGCAGACCTGGGTCCTGAATCGCTACCGCATGGTGCAACTAGAGCTCATAGACCAGGTGGTCTTGTCCTATGGAGGCCTGCGTGGGGCTGTGGCCTTTGCACTGGTTGTGCTCCTGGACAAGAACAAGGTCAAGGAGAAGAACCTGTTCGTCAGCACTACCATCATTGTGGTCTTCTTCACTGTCATCATCCAGGTGCGCCACCAGGCCCACACCCTAATTAGGTTTTATAATTTTAGTAATTAGGAGCTCTTTTGTAGGTTTCCATGTGGCCTCACAAGGGATGGAGCATAGTTTGCCCTAAAATGCATTTCCTGGGCTGTGGCTGCCTGGCGCTGCCCCAGTTGCCTCTCCCTATGGGTCCAGGCTCAGCACAGCCGCGAGGTGACACTTTGCCTTTGCTTTTGGTCAATCCAAAGAGCATGTTGCTGGGACCCAGAGGCTGTCCCTGATGGGTCTTGACTGCCCTGTGGGGACTGTGGCCACTGACTACTGTGACTCAGTGGGGCTCGGGCAGGAGGGCTGCCCAGTGGTTAGCAAGACCTGGTCTTTCAGGGCCTGACCATCAAGCCCCTCGTGCAGTGGCTGAAAGTGAAGAAGAGTGAACAGCGAGAGCCCAGGCTCAATGAGAAGCTGCATGGCAGGGTAGGGATAGGGGTAGTGCGGGGAGTGGCAGGTGGGGAGAGGAGCAGGTGGGGGCCTCTGGGGTAGGGAGGCAGAAGGGGAGAGGAGGTGGCTGCTTGTAATGAGGGGCACATGTCCGGGGCTCTAGAGCTACCAACAGTGATGCCAACTAATGTCTCTTGCCTCCCTGGCAAGGCTTTCGACCACATTCTCTCAGCCATCGAGGACATCTCAGGACAAATCGGGCACAACTACCTCAGAGATAAGTATGTGGCTCTCTCCCCTTAGGCAGTAGGCTGGGGACCCATGGGCCCCTCGTGGCAAACCATGTTCCACAAAGCCCAGTTCCTGGCTCAGTGGCCTGGACCCCAGAGAGCACCAGGCCTCAATTGGCGTCAGCAGAGGCACCTGACCGTGCTTCACAGTGCTTCCCAGGCACAGAGTGACACCCTTTGCTGGGGGATAATTAATTCTAAATGTCAAAATATGTGGTTGGAAGATGACAGTGGGAAAACAGGTGATTTCCCCTATATTGTGAACAGAGAATGAGTGTCAGTATCATCAACATTTAAAATAATTTTTTTCTGTGAAACTGAAACTATTTATATTTTATTATAAAATACATTTGACTTTTAAAATTAAGAACTCTAATAATTGAAGCACTTAAAATTCACAGTTTTTTGTTCCTATTTTACGAACAAATAACCCACATTGGCGTACAAGGTATGACTGTGGTTTCTATGGAGCAGAACCATAGTTCTTGGTGACAACTGTGAGTTGGTTCTGAGGTTCCAGGGCATCTCCAGCCTCTCATCTGTGAGGGGGTGTTGCAGGAAGCACACCCTAGGTGACTGCACAGAGCATTGGTCATCCGGAGCTGGACCAAAGAAGTCTAGCCTCCAGGACACATGTAGAAAAGACATCTGCGATTCTGGAGTGATTCCAGAGGCCCTTGGGAGTCTTGCCACTCTCTGCCTCTGAGGGGTGGGCAGTGTCTGGCAGCTCCACCCCTCCCTGGAAGGGCTGGAGCCTTCTCTCTCTTGAGTCCCAGAAGTTTCTCTTAAATCTGACCAGGCCACCTGCCTCTGACCTGAATAAGCAATGGATTTTTCTAATTCTGCTGACTAAGACAACAGCACTCAGGTCAGCTCCACTCTTCTCATAGCCAGGAGCTCAGAGGGGATCTACCATCCTCAGCCAGTTCTGTCATCCACCTTGTCCAGGCCACTTTCTAAAGGATCACTTGGGAAACTACTCATAACATGGTAATTGATGAGAAGTAGAACCCACAGTTTTGTGTACACTCTAGTTAAAACAGTATCAGACAGAAATTTGTGCAGACTGTGGATGATCGCTGATTCGAGGTGGATAGCAGACTTGAATGTGAGCATGAGACCTTATGGATTCTAGAGGACAATGTCAGAGAAACTCTGCTAGAAGTGCCATTGCTGGCTCCCTGCACTTTGAAGTGCTCCCATAGGGTTGTCACTGCAAATGAAATCCAGGGGAGAAAGGGTGACTGTGCATGTCCACCTTGAGTTAGGCAGGGCCCTGTCTGACCCAGGCAGGCTGACTACCACCTCCCCTGCATGCCGACTTTGTGCCATCTGTCCCCGCAGGTGGTCCAATTTTGACAGAAAGTTCCTGAGTAAAATCCTAATGAGACGGTCAGCTCAGAAGTCCCGAGATCGGATCCTGAATGTTTTCCATGAGCTGAACTTGAAGGATGCCATCAGTTACGTGGCTGAGGTACCAGAGCTCTGTTGGCTCCCTGTGGTGGACATGGGTGTGGCTGCTGTGGTCTGGGTATAGGTGATGGAGGGCAGGGGTGGCCCCACACTTCTGAGGCTGGCGTAGCAAGGACAACACCATGTAGTCCTCAGCAACTGGCCTGAACTCATGAGACTTGGGGCCCTCCAGTTCCCAGGGAACCGGCCATGTCATAGCTCTCTCACTCAGGAAAACTGAGGCACAGAGCACTCGGGCCCCCCACCAGATACTTGGTGGTGCTGGCAGGCTAAGAGAAGAGGCCAGGCCCCATGATCTGAGGCCCTGTGTTTCCCTTTAGGGTAGGATAGGATGGGAAGTAGGCAGGGAATTATGGGTCTGGGCTCTCAAAACGCACATATGTACATGCATACATTCTACATGTGTGCACACAGAGGGAAAGCAGTAGGGACGTCTTACCCCAGGACAGGCTGTGGCCCCAAAGCTGCCTCCACAGTGCCTGCCTTCTTCAGAAACTGACCAGAGCAGGCCACCCCATCCAGCCCAACAGCCAGCACCCGCGGTTGGGTAGTCCTCAGCCTCAGACAAAAATCTGGGCCTCCTCTGGGAGTGCTGGCCCCTATGGCCTGGCCAGTGGGCAGTTGCAGGGAAGATTTCCTCCATGTGGTGTCCACAACTCCTTCTTAAGGGGCAAGGCCTGGTCAGCTTGAAGCCCCAGGTCCAGAAGGTTCTCTGCCCCCGCGGGGCAAAAGAGATAGGCTCAGCAAACCCGTGAGACACTCAAACCAAGGACCAGTAGTCTAGTCCCTCCTAGAGTTTGTTACCCCTGTGCAGCCCATGACCTGGGCTCACATACATGACAGGGGTATCCTGGCAGAACCAGGGCTCAGGGAGCCCCTAAGCCATAGATTTCCTGGACAATGCTCCACCCATAAACCCCTAAGTCTACACTCCAAGGCACAGGAAGAGGCTGCCTCAGGCTCAGCCGGGCATAGAAGCTACTGGAAGGGTTGCTATCCTCACCTCTGACCCAAGTTTAAAAAATTCAACACAAAAATCTCAACCTTCTGTGGCTGTGGCTGCCCTTGCGGACTTGGAACCTGCACAGAGGGTGGGAGGGGGCTGGCTACAGGTCTCTGGAGGGGCCTGGAGCCCAAGGCAATATCCCCTCTGCTTGCTGGTTTCTCCTGAGACACTTCTTGGCTTCCACCCCCAAATGGGTGATGTGGGCACTGTGCAGGGCTTAAGCCTACCCTCAGCCCTACCAGCCACACCAAACGTTTACCTGTGACCTATGATCTTGGGCTCTGCCTCATGTACAAAGCCTTGGAGTCCACTTACCTGCTCTGACCACACCCACTGTGTCATGCCCCCAGCATCAGACCTGCCTGGACACCTCTCCTGTCGGTCACTTGCTCTCTCCTAGTGTTCCTTGGCGTAGGGTGGGCTGGGCACTCTGATGCAGACAGGTGGGCTTACCACTCACAGACCCTCCTGGCCCTTGCCTTTTCCTCATGCATCAGTGACAGAAGGATGATGGGGTTGTAGGCTGGTGTAGTGGCTCATGCCTGTAATCCCAGCATTCTGGGAGGCTGAGGCAGGAGGATCATTTCAGCCCAGGAGTTCCGGACCAGCCTGGGCAATAACAAGAGTCCATCTGTATAAAAAATTAAATAAAAAACAGTTGGATTTTGAAGAAGAAGACCAACAGTTTCCACCATGTGAAAGACAAACATACTCTGAAGGGGCAAACAGCACTCTGAGCCTGAAATGCCCCAGCACAGAGTCTCAGTGACTTGGGAGGCCAAGGCAGGAGGATCACTTGAATCCAGGAGTTTGAGGCCAGCCTGGGCAACAGAGTGAGATCTGTCCCCACCCCATGGAGCCTGTCCTTTTGCTCTGTCCACCCCTAGCACCCTGCCCTATGCTCTTCCATGGGCCTCATGGTCCCTCAGGGCCCCACTCCTGCATGGGGCTTGTCTGGCATCCCCTTCTCTGTCAGGTGCATCATAGTGTGATCACTCCCAGGTATGAGGCTGCTGGGGTTCCCTTCTCTGGGGAAATGAGGGTGGGGGTTGGAGTCCACAGCCAAGAGCCACCTTCCTGACCATGGTATCAGTGGGCTCTAATAGTGCCCCAGGGAGGTTTTATTCTTTCACACACACAGGCTGTTTTGTTCCCTGACTGCTCAGGTGGGGCAGTGCTGACATGGCCTCTGACAGGAGCTTCTGCACTTGCCCCACCCTGCAGCTGCAGGGCAGCCCCTGGGCCATGTGGCGTCCCCAGTGCTTCAGCCACATGAGGGCAGATACTGCCTGTGTGCCTAGGGCTAGGTGCTGACTGACTGACTGACACTGACGAGGTTGTCTCTCATGGCAGGGAGAGCGCCGTGGGTCCCTGGCCTTTATCCGCTCCCCAAGCACTGACAACATGGTCAACGTGGACTTCAGCACGCCACGACCATCTACTGTGGAGGCCTCTGTCTCCTACCTCCTGTACGTGTCCATGTCTACACAGCCTCCTGAGCCTGGAGCCTGCCAACAGGCATGGGTCTTCTACAATGGGCATTTCCTCAGGCCCTTGGGGAACTGAGAGTCCTAACTGGGTGACAGGGCTGCAGCCTGTGTGCTGAGGGGGTATGCAGGAAGTGGGCCAGGCATCTCCTACTGCAGTCACCATCAGGCAGCCAGTGAGAGCATCTTCCTGTTGCACTGATGCAAGATGGGGGAGGGTTGGGGAGGAAGTGGGGATGGCAGCATGCTGGGGCCTAGGGCCTGATCTGTCTGCCCTTCCCAGGAGAGGACTGGACTGGTCCTGGATTGCATACTTGCTGCCCCACTGGCCCCAGGATCCACAGCTATGGCCAGTGCTTACTGAGCAGCTATATCACTCAGTGCAGGTGTGCAGTGGGTGGCACCATGGGGTCTCACAGACAGGGTTTTGGAAGGAATAGGTCACAAGGGGCAGAGAGGGGAGTCAACTAAAACAAGATGGCTTATAAGGCCTCTGGGTCAGGCTAAGCCCAGAGGAGAGAAGGAGCTGGCCAGGTGTACAGGTGCCCTGATGTCTAGGTGTCAAGATGTCCAGTTGTCCTGGTGTTCAGTTGCTCAGGTATCCAGGCACCAGGTGCCCAGGTCCTTCCCAGGTACCTAGGTGTTGAGCTGTCCTGGTGTCCAGATGTCTTGGTTCCCAGGTATACAGTTGTCCAGATGTCCTAGTGTGCAGATGTCCTTGTGTTCAGGTTCCCAGGTGTCCTGGTGTCCAAGTATCTTGGTGTCCTGGGACCCAAGCCCAGGCTAAAGCCCAGGCCAGATGCAACCAGCACAAAGGAAAGGGGCAGGGGCCAGCAGGAGGCCCCAAGGTGCATTTCTCGTGGCTCAGTGACCACTACTCCCAAACAGGAGGGAGAATGTCAGCGCGGTATGTCTGGACATGCAGTCCCTAGAGCAGCGGCGGCGCAGCATCCGGGACGCAGAGGACATGGTCACCCACCACACATTGCAACAGTACCTGTATAAACCACGACAGGAGGTGGAGTCCTCGTGGGCGGTTTTCTTCTCCCATCCTCTCCTGGGACAACAGGGAATCTTGTGCTCAGCTGTGGCGGCAGGCGGGTGTGAGGGTGGGGTGACCCCATGGCCCTGGGGGTGCCCTGCTGCGTCCCCAGCTGTGATGATCCCTGTCACTCCCCCCAGTACAAGCATCTCTACAGCAGACATGAGTTAACTCCAAATGAGGATGAGAAGCAGGACAAGGAGATTTTCCACAGGACCATGCGGAAACGCCTGGAGTCTTTCAAGTCAACCAAGCTGGGCCTGAACCAGAACAAGAAGGCAGCCAAGCTGTACAAGAGGGAGCGTGCCCAGAAGCGGGTGAGGGACCGCACACAGCACAGGGCACCCCTCATGGGCCCCAGCAGGGACTGTATCCCTGCCACCTTGCCCACCAAGGAGGAAACATGGGGAAGTTGAAAGTGGGTGGAGCGGAGACAGGTCCTGCTCTGCTCTCTGGGGCGGGAGGCAGGTGCACCCTCCACACCTGTAAGCACTTCCTTGTTTGCTCCTCAGAGAAACAGCAGCATCCCCAATGGGAAGCTGCCCACCGAGAGCCTCATGCACAACTTCACCATTAAGGAGAAAGGTACTGGTTGGCTCTGGAAAAATGCTTGTCAGTAGGACCTTCTGGCCTCCTGACATTGGCTGCTTTCTTGCTTGTCTCCCAGGCTTGAGGCAAGCTAAACATATGTCCCCATCCCCAGCTGTGACTGCACCACTACAGTTGTTTCCCCAGCCAGGGCTCTCACATCTCTCCCTACTGGCCTGTCATCCCTGCCCCTTCCTCTCCCGGGGGTTCTGTCACCCTCACCCACCCTGCCCCTGGCACAGCCACCTATGGAGCCACCCAGACACTGCTAGCTTGGTGGCTTGATAACAGCCCCAGTCCTGGGAGTTGGACCTGGCTCCCTGACCCCCAGTCTATGTTCCTTGTGTTGCCTCTCCCACTAGATTTGGAACTCTCGGATCCTGAGGAGGCCCCTGAATATGACACTGAGGAGACCAGTGGGGGTATTGAGTTCCTGGCAAATGTCACCAAGGACACTGCATCTGACTCCCCTGCAGGTGGGCAGGGTGACATCACAGGTGGTGGTTGCGGGGGCAACTTGGTCATTGAGAAAGGGACATCCCCACGTCCTAGACTCCCCTAGAGAGTTGCTGACACCATGAAGAGTTCTCTCAGGGAGATGTAGTCCTGGCAGTGGCAGGTCCACCTGCCATGGAACAGGCAGGGTCTCTGTGCCCTGAGGAGGGAGGTGTCACCTGTGCCATCTGCAGGGTGAAGGGCCTGACACCTTAACCTTCCAGGTGACCTTGCAGGTGCTGCCACAGGAACAGCTGGTGACAGCCTGGAAGTGGCTTTCCCTCTTTCCCATGTGGGCTGCTCCTGGAAGACTGACTGGCTGCTGCCCTTTCTCCTAGGAATTGACAACCCTGTATTTTCTCCGGACGAGGACCTGGGCCCCAGCCTCCTGGCCAGGGCGCCTCCCTGGCTGACTCCAGGGGAGACAGTAGTGCCCTCCCAGAGGGCCCGCCTGCAGATACCCCACTCTCCCAGCAACTTCCGCCGTCTGACGCCCTTTCGCCTCAGCAACAAGTCTGTGGACTCCTTTCTGCTGGCTGACGGCCCTGAGGAACGGCCCCATGCTGCCATCCCTGAGTCCACACACATGTAATGCCTAACCCTAATGCCTCCTCTCTCCTCAGCTCCTGTCCTCAGGCCTCATGTTCTTTCTTTCCGACTGAACTTCTGCAGACTGTCAACAGCTGCTTCTTTCTTTCAGATCCTCTCAGGGAACGTTCGCTGGTCTGCTTCTCCAGAGCTACCTGAGGCTTGGTGTGTCTTAGCAGGCTGCCTCTGAGGATTTACTTTGAGATTGTTAGTTTGCTCACAAAATGCTCTGGATCCATGTGGTCAAACCATGAGCTCAGAGGGAGCTGAGAACAGGCCTGGGTGACTGAGGGAGGGAAACACTATCCTCCCCAAAGGCCCTAGGCCCTGGGAAAAGTCCAGGTGGTGGAAGTCTAGGGCAGAAGCAACATGTGAGTGGTGTGCAGGACATGGGGCAGTCAGGGGCTGGCCACACAGATGCCCGCCAGCATGCTGACAGCCTCTTGGGCTCCAGCCCAGATAGGAAGGGGAGACAGGTGGAGAGGAATGGGGGGCCTGGGCTATCCCATTCATTCCACAGAAGGAGGCCTCAGCCCACCTTGGGCAGGTGTTGGATCATTTCAAGTGTCCTTTGGGAGCTAAATGGGCTTGAGGGAAGAGCATGAGGGCAAGGCAGGGTAGGGTAGTGCCTACTCCAAATGCAGCTGAGACAGCTCTTCCCTCTGATGGAACCTGCACCTATCTACCCTGCACTTCGGGAGAAGACACTGTCTTCTGAGACTTGCAGGGTGGGTGCCCCTGGCAAGCATTGGTGGTCCCACTGGCTGTCCTGGTTGTGGGAAAGGGCCACACTGGGCCAACCTCTGCCTCCTTTCTACCTGTTCCTGCTTCTACTCTGGACCTCTGGCCTTTGCTTGCTTCTGGTCTGGACCTCTCGCATTGCCTTTCTCTGTTTCCCTGGGTGTCATCTTTGAGTCCCACTGGTTCTCAGAGCAGGGTGCCCTGTTCCCAGGAAGTCGAGGCTGCTGGGCCCACCTTAGGAGGCACCTGTCACATCTGCAGTGAGGTCCTCGCTAAATCTGTCCTATGGATCACGGTGGCCACAGAACATCTGAATGGTCCAGGCAAGCCCGGCTGGGCCTCAGACTGGGCCTCTGGGGACCCCCGAGTGGCAGACCACCAAAAAAGTCAAGTGGCTTAGGGTGAAGCCTCCCAGTGATCGAAGCTGAAAGGGCCCCCCATGGCTTGGAAGGCTAAGAGACCTGTGCTGGACACGACAGCTCGCACCCACCACGCCCGGATGCACCTGCTCTGGACAATGCTCAGGAGCAGCAACCAAGGGGAAGGAAGCTGCGTCCTGCGGTGACCTGGTGAGCGCTGACCACACCGCTGATGCCCTATCTTCCGCAGGTGACACCGGGTCCGACACCCCACTGACCGGACGCTCATCCCCACGCCACCGGTCACCTGCCGCTACAGAGAAGTCTCCGCTGCCCACGCGCCTCCTGCTGCCGCGTGCCTCGAGCCCCGTCCCGTCTGCGTCCGTGTCCACCCCGGAGATAGCCACGCCTACCGAGCCGGGGCAGGGGGCAGGGTCCTCTCTGGGGTCAGGTCCGGAGCACCGGGGGCTGCCGAGTGCTCACGCACGGTCGGCGGCGGCTCGCCGCGTACACAGCCGGCGCTCCTTCCAGCGGCCCCGAGCGCGTCGCCGCCCGGCGCTCCTCAAGCTCGCGTCGCTGCCACCCTCCTGCCACGCCCCGCCGCACGCGCTGGAGCAGGAGGAGACGCCATTGTGACCCGGGCCCACGCCCCTGGCCGCGAGCGCCACACCCCGTCCTCCTGCCCATTCTCCCTCCCATAATATTCCCGGCCCCACCGCGGCCTCCTCCCCACCCCGGCTCTCTGGCCCCACCCACATGGCCTTCTGAGCCGTCCACCACATACTACCCCCGTTTTCCCGCCCTCGCTCCCACCTGGGCGCATCCCTTTGCACACGCAGGTGCTGGGTGCCACCCAAGCCAGGCTGCTGGAGATGGGCAGGCCTGGCCTCCCTCATCGGAGGGTGGCAGATGCTCCACCCTGTCTGTGCTTGGGAGTCGTCAGCACTTCCGTGTGCATCTTAACGCCCTGACTCAGGGACAGGGAGGGCAGGAGCTCAGGCTCCTTTTTAAGGGCAGCTTGTGTCTAATTTTCATCACTGCCGGGGAAACTGAGCCCCACACACAATGAGACTTGCCCTACTGGACACAAATCCAAGCCTGCGATCACTCCAGACCTCCCTCCAGGGACATAAGGGACAGCCTGGTTCTTGCACATCCTGAGCCACTAGAACGCCAGGTTCCTGATCCCTCAGAACTGGCAGGCTGTGTGGGGTTCTCATGTCCACTTGCCAGTTCTGTGAACTGCATGTCACCATGTGGACTATAGGTAAAGTTGCAGGAATCTTTTGTTTGTTCATTTTTTGGTTTCAGTTCCTAGAACCCAGCACTCATCTTGTTCCCCTCCCAACTCAGGCCCTGCACTTGCCCAAGTCTGGGGTGGTAGCCTTTGGCCACAGCCCTGTCGTCAAAGACAAGGTCTCTGGCCTGAGCTGTCTCACCTCATAGGTTGACATAGACAGCTCCAACTTGGTTAGAAGCCCTGCAGAGGTAGTGCAGGGGGGGGCCTCAGGGGCAACTCGTTTAGTATCATGGATCCTCAAGTGGATTGTGGCCACAGTAACCACAGTAGGAGAGAAGTGAGGGGTCGGAGTGGCCAGAGGGGCTCATGGTCCTCCTAGGCACTTGGCTGAGACCCTTCGTACCCATACCAGGTCTCAGGGATAAGCCTTGGACAAAGCCCCTGTCCTTCTGGAGTAAGACCACTGTCCAGGCTGTTATGGGAGGGAAGCAGGGTAAGGTCAAAGTCTGGCTCCCAGGCTGCTATCCACTCCTGGGCTCTCTTCCAATCTGCCCCACACTGAAGGTTTCATCTGAGGGCAGTGGGCTTGGGACACTCACAGCTCCTTGCTCAGGAAAATGAAACTATTTGTGTGTTATGATAAAGTTTTGACAGTTTATGTTCCCAAAGCAGTCATAGATAAAGGAATTTATTAGCAGTTTGCAAACTGAGTCCCTGGTGGAAAGGGTCTACAACTCCCTGTTCACAACTTCACTCTTGAGTTTACTCCCAAGACAACTGCCTCCCTCTGGTGTCTGCTCAGAGGGACTCACTCCTAGCAAGTTAGCAGGTGGCAGCAGTGGCTCTAGGTTGTCAGTTACACTTACCTCCCCCACTTTCAACTCTTCTAAACCATGAGCACAACAGGCAGTCTATTCTATGAGCACCTGCCCAACAGGTCGCCCTGCTCAACTGCTGAGCTGCAGCCACCATCCTTAGTGGCCCCATTCAGCCCATGTGCACTGCTTCAGTGAGTGAGGCCACCCCCACCTACCTTCCAGTGGCCACAGCATATGTCCAGCTGGCTGATCCTTCACCTGGACCACTGGGCCCCAGACATTATTCATGGCTGCAAAGTTAGAACCTGAGTCCAGAAAACCTCTGGGGCAGTTCCTGGTCACTGCACTGTATGGCAGAGAACAAAGCAGCAACTGGTCTGTGTTCCTGAGAACCACCAGGGACACCCAAAACTGGCCTTCCATGTGAGAAGACCTCACTCAGAAACTCACACCCCATGCCCCAGAGGATAGTGTCACGGATTTGTGTGCTGTGGAACATTTCATAAAGTGAGAATTATTGCTGTTCTTGTCACTTTTATAAACAGAATGCAAACAAAGTCTTATGAATGTATTTCCTTATGAAAACTTGTAAAACTTATTAGGAAAGACTATTTAATATTGAACTTTGGCCCATTTTGTGATAGACTATAAAAGTACACAAATTGAGGCAAACACTATCTCTCACTTCTGTATTTTCTTGAAAATAATTTTGTTACAGTGTTCAATATACCATTTATTATTGATCTTCCGTTGTGAAAGGAAATTTAAAGGAAAAAGTTGCATCAAAAAGAGAATTGAAATGTATTTTATGAGTGTGAAAATTGCACATGTTAATTTCATTAACATAATATAATCAAATGTTCTGTGATAATTCTAATCACAAAATCACGTGCCTTAAAATGCCCCTCCCAACATGCTGCTGGCACTGTCTACACAGGGAGGGCATCGTCACCAAAATTCTGCAACAAATGCTTTATCTACTCTATTAAAAACGTTTTGAGGCATTTTGGGTGCAAACTTTTTTTATAAATGAGAAATCATATCCAGAACTTAATGAGCAGTCTCCTATTGGCTGTGCTCTAAAATTACACATTGCCTTTTAGAGCTGGTGTGAGCACCCACTGGATGCACAGCAGTAGAGTAACACCTGCATGCTGGGAACACTCCAGCAGTGAGTTCAAGCCCTTCCTGTACGCAGAGCACAGGGTGGGAGACCCCCCCCCACAGGGAGGTAGGAGGCCTGAGACATGAAAGTGGCCCAGGCAGAAGAGAGGTGGGTAGGCACAGAAGGGCCCAGGCAGGGACCCACTCTCTTGAGTGCTGGAGAGCAACCAAAGCAGCACAGCCCTGAGCAGATGGGGGGCACTGCCCATAGCTTTCTCTGAGCAGAAAAAGATCCCCTAGCATTTAGCCTCCATGATTGGTGTCTGCTGAGGACTGTGAGCAGCCAGACAAGTGAATGCCACTCAGCTTACCTGTCATACATGGAACTGTGTTGCCAGCTCTGCACTTTCTGAGTAACTTGGAGAGTCCAGAAACATCCCCAACCTGAGAGATGTCCTTCTGGGGGAGGGACAGAGTATGTCCTGGAACCGCAGCCTGAGACATCCATGCTTTGCAGCCAGATCTCCTTTATCAGGTAGGCACTTTAGTTTGGGTGCTATTGCTCCCTGACTGGAAATGGCCTACCCCAGCCTTTATGTGGGCTCCTTTATGGAGTGGCTCAGAGATGACTCTCCTTGGCATCAGGCTAGACACCCACTGCTACACACAGGGACAGAGCCCTCTCCAGAGTCACCCACACCTCCAGCACATCCTGGCCAACATCCTGCCTCCACAAGGCCAAATGGTCAAAGGCTCAGCCACCGTCACTATGGACATCCACAAAGTGGGCACAACCAGCCACATGAGGCCTTTGGTACCCACAAGAGACAACCAGCAAAGTACCTATAAGGACACCATGTGCCCTTGGGGTAATTTATTACCTGGATGTTTACTTGGAAGAGACTTGAAGTGAGCTCTCTCTCAATGCGAGAATAATGCATTTCTATTATTGTAAGGGGCAATAATTAGTGATTGTCCACATTGTCTCATTCACTTAATATATATTTACCAAGCACATCCTGTATGCAGACTTACTTAAGGTAGAGAACCACAGCACACATGCATCAGGAGATCGCAGTTCCCAGATTCCTTGGGTTTCTGAAGCTTCTGACCTAACCTCACTCCTGTCTGATCCTCTACTCTTTCCCTTCCCTCCCTCCTCTCACACTAACCAAATGCAATTCCTGGATCTTAAACTTCAGAGTTTTCTGTCTCCCATGCTTTTCACTGTCCACCTCTCACCTGCCTTCTACTATCATTCCTCAGTACCAGCCCTGCCTGTGTCTCTGGATACCTCCTTCTGCTCCTGAGATGGTCTCCATCTGCAGTGCAGAGCTGGCTGAGTTCCAGAATCCCAACCCCAGTCTTTTCTTTTTCAACAATTTCACCAAACTTGATATGCTTTCTCCCAGATTCTGTGGCCTTGCACTTCTTTCTTATCCAGCCAGTTTTAAGGGACAACCAGATTGTAGATGACAATGATAAAAAGGAACATATTTGTCTTTATACAAATATGGACACACACACCCCCACCCCAACCCAGGTCCAACGTGGTTGGGGGTTTGTTGTTGGGTACTTGGGTTTTGTTACAGGTTGGCAGGAGAGGCAGGGACAGAGGTAGATGTGTGCAAGTCTCAGCAGACAGCGCTCAACTCTTAGTACACTGATCCCTTCTTCCCTATCCAAGTCTTCTAGACATGGAAGACCCTGAGCTCCTTGCTGGCCCCAGCCAGGGAGCCTCCCAGCATGTCCTACTCAATGTGAGACAAAAGCTGCACAGCAGAGGAACGAAGTTGCCACAACATGCTTAGGTGAAGAAGGCCTACTGCACCTGAGCTGGGACACCCCACCCCCACCCCCCGCTGTAGGCTGTGGCTTTGCCCTTGCAGACAGCAGCTTACACCACAGAATGGCAATTTAAAGGCTGTTTCTTCTCCAGCTCTCAGTTGTGACTGGATTCAGGCTGAAACAATCATGTCCCCAGCCAAGAAAACAACTCTATTTAGGTTGTGATTCTTTCAATAAAAAAGTCCTATTCATGAATTTTTCACATCTTGTGAAGATGAAATAAAAGCCAAAGGTCAACTGCCATCTTAAAAATGTCCTGAGAGAAAACAAACTAAAGCATGTGTCCACACATGGCTGGAGCAGCTGTCCTGTGCACAGCCAGCAAGGGAACTGCATGATGTCCTGGTTGGGACTGGGGGTCCCTATGGACAACCCTCCTGATTTCCCACCTGCTGTAGCCAGGGAAAGGGAACAGAGGTTGGCACTTTCATCTCACCCAGCCTGAGTCATTGTCTCTGCCCTCTGGAGACCAGGCGTGAGCAAAGGCTATAGACACTGTTCATTCCGGGTATGATTTTCTTAATTAGCTTTATATAAAGTTAATGTGCAAAATGATGCTACCACTGAAGGCAGATGCTGTAGAGATGGCCAAATTACATAAAAAGCATTTAAGGGATTCAGCATCAAGAATAAGCATGATTCACAGATCTTTCAATGTATTCCAAATAAATACTCACTTTCTTACACATGTCTACCAAAATTTACACTCATGACCTGGCCCAACAGTAGAGGTCTACTGGCCTGGAGAGGTGTGTCCAGCTGATAATGCTCCCACCTACCCAGAGGAGTGAATCTAGGGGCAGTGGAACAAGGGTGCTGGAGACTAGCACAGGGTCAGGGCCTTGATGAGGATAAGACGTCATAGACAATCTAAAAGCAGTGTCTGGGCACTGCCAGGGCGTCACCGGTTAGAAAACCTTAACTATAGAAGAGAAACATCTCCTGCTCCTTCTCTGAGGAAGGTCAAAATCTTTAATCAGCGGTAGGGCATCTACACCAGACTGGAGTGTGCCTGAGGCCAGGAAGACTGCACGTTTTCTCTGCCCTCCACATCAACCATGGGGGACTTTACAGCAGAAGCTGCTCACAAAGGACATATACAACAGAAACAGGAACACAGCTGCAGATGTCATTCCATATGCCCCTCGTATGTCAAGTTTTGGAGCCAGAGGGACAGGCTATGGCACTAGGACCTTTGTGTGTGGACCCTAGAGAGTGATTCCTGCAGGGCTAGGCAGATGCCTACTTGAGAAGCTTGGCCACATTCAGACTGGGCACAGCAATGTCTCTGAAGAGTGGCACGTAGCTGGGACTCGCCTGTGTGGGCCCCTGCTCCAGGCTCTCGATGATGGTCTGTTTCATGTCACGACTGGCATCCCCACGCACGGCTAGCAGTGCTCCAATGTGCTCGTCCCTGGGGGCAGGAGACAGTGAGCCTGGACTGTTCACGCCCATGGTCTACAGCCCACCCCTCACATCCAGGCCCCACAGACCACAGACCTCCCTTCACATCCATAGCATTTGCCAAGTGGCTGGTGCGTGGTGCTGCCAGGGATGGCAGGACACTGCACAGAAGCCCTCCTGCCCTGGTCAGCCCCTCCGTGCTGTCTAGCCAATCTGGAGAAGCGCAAACTGTCCACCTTCTAAAGGGTGATGGGAGGGCTACTGTGCTCTAGGAATTCTGATGAGAGAGGCACATCTGTTACCTCTACAGTCCCCGGTTCCTGGGTCATGGACCAGTCCCAGTCCAGTCTGAGATAGGAGCCAGGCCACAAAAAAATCATCTTCAGTGGAAAAACTGTTCCCCATGAAATAGGAGTGGGCACATAGCAGAAGGTGAACAGCAGGCAGTGGAGCAAAGTAGCCTGAGCCTTCCTGCTCCTTGTGCCCATCCGTGGAAACTGTCTTCTGTATGACCCATCCCTGGTGCCAAGCAGGTTGGGGACTGCAGTCCTACCTGATGTCTGGGTATTTGCTGACCAGTGTTGAGACTTCCAGGTAGAGTAGAGAAGGGTCTGTCAGCTTGATCACTTCTGCGACGGCCACAATGGTGTCACAGTGGCCATCTGCATCTTCACCACAGCCCTGAACAACAGTGGACATGTGACCACAGCTCTCAGTCCTCACCCAGATACGAAGCTTGACTATAGCACCCTTGAACCCCTCCCTGGTTGGCACGTTCCTCTTTCAAGCAAATGCTTCAAATTCATCCAGAAACTAGGGTCTGCTCAGACTGGGGAGTATGGGAAGGGGGCTCCCAGCTATGCCCACTGCGGGTGTAGTGTCACGTCAGCAGCTATGCCCACTGCGGGTGTAGTGTCACGTCAGCAGTGTGACCAGTATCTTAGAAACAAAGCTGACCCAGGGCAGGGGTATCTAGCCACCTTGCTGCCAGCTGCTGCTAGTCTGGAAGCTGCCTACCAAGAGCTCCTGCTCGCTTGTGAGTCAGGCGGGATCTGACCCTACTACCCGCCTGACGACAATGACAACAGGGGTCAGCCTGTCCCTCCAAACAGCCTAATATAACTAAGCATCATTAATTGGGTGGGAGATTTGACAAAGAAGCTGCGGGATAACAGCTCTCAAGTTCTTTGGCAGCTAGTCCCTGGTGCCCATGCACCCCCAACACTCAAAGACACAGCCCCAGACACTCACATACACACCTCTGACACTCACAGATATGCCCTCGATACTCACAGATGCCAGTTTTCGGAACAGGAAGCGTAGTTGCTCTGCCTCCCGAACCATCTTCTCAGCACCCTCTTTGCGCTCATCAGGGCTCCGGAAGGAGATGCGCTTCTGTAGGACTGCCCGCAGGTACTCTACCACCACGCGCCGATGTGCCTCGGCCGTCATCCTCTGTGGGAGAGGGGCAGTCAGCTGCATGTACCACCACGCTGTAAACATGAGTGCCCCTGTGGACACCCAAGCTGGGCACATGTCTACCCCTTCTGATCTCCCAGTCCACATCTTGCTCTGCCTGTCCCTGAGTACCTCACCCTGAGTACATAGCGTGGGCTCACAGGGAACCAAACCCTGGGCTAGACCAGCTCCAGTCTCACCAGCCAAATGAGGCTCAACAGAATTACCATGCATCAGCACACACATCCCCCTCATCGACAGCAGCTCAGTGTCTACTGCTGTGCTGAGTTTAGCTGACAAGAGCAACATCTACAAACAGTGACAGTTGCTTCGGGGAAAAGAGGTACCCAGAGTCCAAAAGGCTTAGTGTCAGGAAGGGAGAAGGCAGGGCATTGCAGGGTGGAGGAAGGACAGAAAGCCACGGAAGGACACACAGGCTTGCCAGGGAGACCACCCCTCAACTCCGGAACTAGAGCTGCAACTATAGACTGCAGCAGGCCCCTAGGAGCCACGTCCACTCTGCCTGGGTGTCTGTGTGGGGTTCATAGGTCAAATGAGGTGCGTGAACTACTGTGAAGGCTCACTAGTACAAACCGAGACCCCCCCACATGCCACTGGGCCCAAGGGCACAACTGTCATGCCAAAGGAAGGAGGCATGCTGAGGATACTGTTTCTCAAAAGAAACTGTGAAGAGAGGTAGAAACTGTGGTGGTGGCTGCAGAGCACCCAGCGGGCAGCTTCTGCAGCAGATGGTCTCTCCATGACCTAGAGGCAGGTCTAGGCCAGGATGGGCGTCCTTGGCCTGTGGATGGCGCCACCTGCCTGTGTCCTCACAGGGTAGTACTCTGTGCCCATCTGTGTCCTTGTCTCCTCTTGCTACGAAGACACTAGTCATTGGATTAGGGTCCACCCTGATAACCCATTTTAACACAATCCCTTCATTAAAGACCCCATCTCTAAATAGAGTCATTTTCTGAGGTATTAGGGGTTAGACGTCAACACAGGAACTTGGAAGGCATAACCCAGCCCCTAACAGAGACATGCAGATAGGGGAGACACAGCACACACCTCCAGCCAGGAGCTGGCTTCCAGAATACACAAATCCTACAAATTAAAAAAGCAATGAAAAACTAGGTACAAAGAAATGCAAGACCTTAATGGCACCTCAGAAAAGAGGAATTCTAAACGATGGATCAAATAAAAGGGGTTCAACCTCATGAACAGAGGAAATGCCAATTAAACTGCAGTGAGAGATGCCCAACAACTGGGAAACTTAAGATGCTGCGAGAAAGGGTGTCTGCACTGGTGAAAACACCACCTGATTCCACCCCACTGGAAATAGGAGTCACTTCCAGCAATGGCATGAGCAAGAGTGTATAGTGCCCATGAGCAAGGAGCCCTGCACAGCAAGAACAGACATTTGTCACAAGCTGCTCTGGGGGGAGAGCAGAGACGCCAAAGACCCAGGATAGCTCCCCCTATGCAAGGTCTGGAAACAGATACATTTGAGCTGTTTGTGAAGCATATACACAGGAGCTGGTTGTCAGAGAAGCCAGGGCCTGGGAGGGGTGGCCATGTGCCTCCCTCTCTGGGTGCTGTTTCACAGCATCCACTTATCATTGACTATGGACAGCCCCTCCTGTCATGCATTTCTAAGTTAGAGGGAAATGAGAGAGCAGCCAGCCATGCTGAGAAGGAGAAGAGATCACCTCAGACAGTCAATGTGAGGATTAAACCACAAAAAAATCTCAGGAAAATCCCCCTGAACCAAACAACATGAGAGAGAGGGACTGAAGCCTCCCAAGACATCTGAAGAAACAACCGTCTCCTCCTGGCATTTGGCCTGCACTCCTCTATGCCACCACAGGTGGCCAGGGGAGGGCAGATGTGACTCTCTCATTTGGGCTGCAGCCCCATCTCTCCCTGTGGGCCACCATCTGGGGTTATTTCCTTTGACGTGATCCTGCTGTTCTATTACTATGGTGTTGGCTCACCCACAACACAAGCAGAGAACCCCCACCAGAGGTGCCAGCCCTGTCATGACACTCACTACAGGTATGTGGGCCTTACTCACAGTCTTGGGGAAGAGCCTGAAATCTGGAGTCCCCATCTTTGCTGAGGACCCACCACCTGAGCCCACGAGGCTGGCCGGCTTCACCAAACATGCTGGTGTTGGTTGTAGTCTTTTAAGCCAGAGAAGTGGAGTCCCTAGAGCTACAAGACCCAGTGGGGCTATTTTTTACTTGCTGTGCTTGTGCACCTATAACTCTGGAAGACCCTGGCCTGAGGTTTCTTGCCACTGACCCTCCTGGCAGGTATGGAGGTGGCAGGGTCCCCAATGACCTCTCGCAGAGTCTTCCTGGCAGCTGTGACTAGCCAAACTGGTTCAGCTTAAAACACCCAGGTCTCCCTGTTATATCTGACTTTTAATGGCAAAGAGCTAAAAGAATTTCCTTTAAAATCAGGAATTAGACAAGAACACCCAATGTCTTTTCCAAGACAAGGAAAAGACATAAAGGTTTAAGGACCACAAGTGAAAATAACACACAATGTCATTTATTCACTGATGAAACAGTGTCTGCAGAGAATTCTTGAAAGAATCTAGATAAAGTGCTAGGAAGAACTAAAAGTTACAAGGTGCTGGATGACAGACCAATATATCAAACCACTGACATTTCTATAAACCAGAAATAAGCAGTTGAAGGCCTAAACTTGGCCAGGGGTGGTGGCTCACACCTGTAATCCCAGCCCTCTGGGAGGCTGAGGTATGTGGACTGCTTGAGCTCAGATTTTGAGACCAAATTGAATGAAATTGAGACCCTGTCTCTACTAAAAATAGAAAAACCAGCGGGGCATTGTGGTGGGTGCCTATAGTTCCAGTCCCAGCTACTTGGGAGGCTGAAGCAGGAGGATCAACCTGAACCCAGAAGTTTGAAGATGCTATGAGCTATGATGCCCTGCCAACTCAGAGTATAAGAGTGAGACTTTGTCTCAGAAAAAAAAAAAAAAAGCCTAAATCTATAAAGTAATACTTCTAATATGGAAACAACACACACCATTGGAGCCTTGTGAGAGGTGCCCCTGGGTGCACATAGCCACTTGCTCCTCCCACCCATCTCAGGCCTCTGCAGGATAGAGAGCAGATGGCAACCTTGTGTCCTCACAGGGCCCAGGACCCCAGATCCTCAGAATCCCTCAGGCCTGACCTGACTCTCTATTCCTTGGGGTCTTGGCAACACAACAGTGGTACATGTGGGGTGGTGGGAGGGAACAGAGCCGACAGAGTCCTCAGTCTTTTCCCCAAAAGAGATGGTGCAGCCTCTATTCCCTCCACCCCCATGCTGGTCTGACCTGTCAACCTCACTCAGAAAAATTCAGCAGACCCTGGGTTCCAAACAAGGCACAAGGTGGGCTCCTACACACAGGCAAACCATGGACGATGTCTCACAATTCTTACCTTTTTATATGGCTTTTTAATTTTGGCAAAATCATTGAAATAGTCTTCCACAGTGACACAGATGATGTCTACAGCGTTTGACCCTAGCAGCCACTTCTTTGTCATCAGCTCATTCAGATGTTGCTGAAAAGCACAAATGGATCACAAAAATCATGGAATCCAAAAACAAGAACCACACATTTTGGTGGATGGGTGTTGGCTACATCTTGATTTTTTGACTAGGACAGCAAGATGCCTCAGGAAAACATCTACTTTGTCACCTTCAGACACGTGCTTTCAGCACAGGAGATCTGCACCACACATGACTGGCCACACTGACAGGCTGGATGACCAAGCCTGTGCATACTCTAGCTTGAGTGGCTACATATATGTGTTATGTGGATACTCTAGTCATTTATTCAATTCTCTAAATCCGTTTTGCATTTTGCAATTATAAGTAATGCACCAGTGCAACTATACTCCTGCAGGTGAAACTCCTTAAAGTCAAAGTCCTTAGTCAAAAAGTCTGCAAATTAAAACTGATAAAGTGGCTCGGCGCCTGTGGCTCAAGCGGCTAAGGCGCCAGCCACATACACCTAAGGTGGTAGGTTCGAATCCCCAGCCCGGGCCCACCAAACAACAATGATGGCTGCAACCAAAAAATGGCCAGGTGTTGTGGCGGGCGCCTGTAGTCCCAG